AGCCTCTGCTTTCTCATCTATGAAACGGAGCAGGTTGCTAATTTCGGAGTTTAAGGATTAGATAAGGGCCAGGTGCAGTGACTCATGACTGTAATCCCAGCACTTTGGAGGCTGAGGCGGGAGAATCACTTTACCCATGAGTTTGAGACCAGCTTGGGCAACTTGGCTCATCGCTACACAAAATGCAAAAACTAGCTGGGTGTGTTGGCCGGCGCCAGTAGTCCCCGCCATTCAGGAGGCTGAGGCGGAAGGATGGCCTGAGCCCAGGAGGCTGAGGTTGCAGTAAGCCAGAATCACTCCACTGTACTCCAACCTGGACAACAGAGTGAGACCTTGTCTCAAAACAAACAAACAAAAAAGCTGGCGGGGGTGGGAGTAGGGGTGGCTGAGTAAGAACATGTGATGTAAGTGCCCAGAACAGGATGGCGTGTGGTATCCGCCTAGTGATATTGGGGTCTCCCTGGCTCTGCCCCTTGTGGAACACCGTTCCCAAGGGTTGATCTGCCTATCACCAGTCACGTCTGTGGTTTCTCGTCAGCCTGTCCCAGCGCTCTGGTGAGGAGTCCCTGAGTTCATTCCGACCTATCTTCTGACCAAGCACCTAACTTGCCTGGTCTCGTTTCTTGGTCTTTGCTCATGGGACCAAACCTTTGCTCCCTCTTGGCCCATGTCACCCACATGCCAGGCTGATTCCTGAGCACTGATTTCCAACAGTGCTGTGCTTGGCCTTGGCCATCCTAGGCCCTTATGGGGAGTCTGTCCCTTTCTGGAACTGACCTGTTGAGCTTCTGTGTCAAGGCTCCCTCTAGAGAACAGCATCGGAGGCTCCAGGTGAGGGTGCCTTCTACCGCCTCCAGTGGGCTCTGCCCAACCAAAAGCCCACAGAACCCAGTGTAAGACACATGTAATAAACGCTAGCTGGCCTCTGGGCAAACTGGAGGTGTGTTCATCTGTAATGTCCCCATGGTTATGATGGTACAGCCCCAGCCACAGCAAAGGGGAATCGTGTTCCTCTGCCGCTGGTAGCCCTCTCTGCCCCTGTAACTCTATCCAGGGGCCCCTAAAACTGGTGATACAGGCCACATCCAAGCAGTGACTGTGACCCACACAGGTTGAGGTCATCCACTGTGTCAACTCCGTGGTTGGGACCTGCGTATTAGCTGTAGCTTGGTCCAATTGAAATCTTTTTGGCCTTGTGCATCCAAAAAATGTTAGATGAGACAGCTAGGTAAACAGATGTCAAAACTACTTTACAGTGAGAGACTGGCACTATTCTTTTAGGTATCAAATATTATTTACACTGTTCTTTGTATCTTTCTCTCCCCCCACCTTTTTTTGAGTCAGTCTCACTCTGTTGCCCAGGTTGGAGTGCAGTGACACACAGTCACTGTAGCTTTGACCCGCTGGGCTCAGGTGATCCTTGTGCTTTAGCCTTCCAAGTAGCTGGAACTACAAGGGTAAGCCACCATGCCTGGCTTATTCTTTGATTTATTGTAGAGATGAGGTCTCCCCAAGTTGCCCAGCCTGGTCTCGAACCCCTGGACTCAGGCAATCCTCTCGCCTTGGCCTCCCAAAGTGCCGGGATTACAGGCTTGAGCCACTGCGCCCGGCACCCCTGGTATTTAGAAGTTTGAATGGTCCTTTCTGGGTGGGAGCTATGGGACAGTACCCTCTCCCATCCTGGATTGGGTCCCTTTGGGACCTGGAGGTGTGGAGGTGGCAAGCGGCCCCTTCACATGTCACTTTCTTCTTTTCCAGGTTCCATCTCAGCTCTGCCTTGCAGTCACTGCTGGAAGTTGTGTTGGTGTTCACGACACGTGACTCTAGATTTGTGCTCTTGAGGTTGACTCCCTTCTCCGGTCCTCAGGACTGTCCTGACTACACTGCTCTGACAGCCCCAGGGAGGTGACATCAGGCAGGCTCTGGGAAAGGCCAGTCCTGGGGATGTTCCCCCTACACGCCCCTTGCTTTGAAGGACTTCTTCCATTGCCGGGCAGATAATGCAATGAACAGGGTACAAAGCTGCCCGATTCCGGTTTACTTTACTCTCCAGTCCTCCCTTCCCCCACCCCCTTGCAGCTGGCAAGGGGGCAGGAAGGCTTCGGTTCTCCTGAGCCACAGGAGACAGCCAGGGCCAGAGGGCTAGAGGACCGGAAATGTCTGAGCCGGAGATAAAGAATTCAGCAGCCGGAGCATTGAACCGTTTTATTGGCTGTTGGGAGATGAAGGAATAACAAGAGGGGAAGGAAGCTCAGACCTCCTCTGTTGCCCTGTTCCTAAGGTAGGGCTTGTGGTATTGTGATTCATGTGGCGTAAGTAGTGGCCACCCCAAGCTAAGCCTCTTAGCTGAGCACAACAGGAATCCCGGCAGGGAATGTTTTGTTTTCGAGTCAGGGTCTCACTCTGTTGCCCAGACTGGAGTGCAGTGGCCGGATCATGGCTCAAAACAGGGCACAAAACGACCTGACTCAAATTTGCTCTCCAGGCTTTCCCTCCCCCAACCTCGACCTCCTGGGCTCCAGCGATCCTTCTACCTCAGCCTCCCAAGTAGCTGGGACTATAGGCGTGTACCACCACACCTGGCTAATTTTTGTATTTTTTTATAGAGACGAGGTCTCGCTATGTTGACCAGGCTGGTCTTGAACTCCAAGACTCAAGCAATCCTCCCACTTGGCCTTCCAAAGTGCTGGGATTATAGGTATGAATCATCATGCCCTGCCAGGCAGGGGAATTTGTGATCAGACAAAAAGCAAGCCAAAGAAAACAAAGCACGCTTGCATTTGGTATGAATTTCCTGATTTAACATTGGTTTTATTGGGGGGAAAGTAGAGAAAGTGGTGACTTCTAAGTATCACAGGGCTGGCCAAGGCTCAGGCTCCCGGGGCAGTTACAATGGAGGGCAGGGAGCCCCACCCAGCCCAAGCAGGCACCCCTTGGCTCATAACTCCAGGACAACTCCAGGACAACTCCCTGTTGCTGGCTTCCTCCCGAGGGTGGCCGCACCAACCTTTCTGCTTGTTGGGTTCCCATCTCTTACTTAACAAGCCTGATGAGAGGAGGGGTGCCCAGGGCCCCCCAGGCCACCTCTGGGGATACTGGCTCAGGTAGAACTGGCTAGCGTTCTGAAGAGCATGGATGGACAGAGGTTCCCCCTAGATATCCATGTGTGGGGAGGACTGGAAGGGCTTCCGAGCGGACCTGAGAGGAAGCAGACTTGGAAGAGCCTGAAACTGCCCTCTGAGGCAGAGGTCAAAGGGCAAAACCTCAGAGCCAATCAGCCTAGTGGCCCTCTCGCCGCACGGTCTCAGGCTTCCTATTTGCCAAAGCCCGAGGCTGGGAAGTCTCTGGAATGTTTCGTATCACAGGGGCGGCTCTGGCAGTGACCTGCATCTCTTACCCTACGTCTCGCCCTCCTTCTCATTCTCCTTTGTCTCTGGAAAGTTTGTGTTGCAGACGTGCAAAAGCAGATTTCTTGATCAAATGCCTTCATTGTCAGCCTCCGAAATCAATTTAAGACAACAAACTCCCCACTCAACAAATCCACATGCCAAAATAGAGTTTAAAATTAAAGTGTCTTTTTTTTTTCTTTTCAAGTTGAGGTTTTAGTTTGTTGCCCAGGCTGGAGTGCAGTGGCACAATCACGGCTCACTGCAGCCTCAACCTCCTGCGTTCAGGTGATCCTTCTGCCTCAGCCCCGAGTAGCTGGGATTACAGGCACACACCATCACGCTGGGCTAATTTATTTTTATTTTTTTGAGATGCGGTCTTGCTATGTTGCCTAGGCTGGTCTCAAACTCCTGTGCTCAACCAATCCTCCTGTCTTGGCCTCCCAAGGTACTGGGATTACAGGTGTGTGCTACTGTGCTAGGCCAAAGTGTCTTTAAAAAGAAATGGACCGGCTAGGCTTGGTGGTTCAGCCTGTAATCCCAGGTCTTTGGGAGGCCAAGGGAAGTAGATTGCCTAAGCCCACAGGTTCGAGACCAGCCTCTGCAACTTGGTGAGACCTCGTCTCTACAATAAATAAAAAATGAGCCGGGCGTGGTAGTGCACACCTGTGGTTCCGGCTACTTGGAAGGCTGAGGTGGAAGGATTGCCGGAGCCCAGCAAGTGGAGGCTGTGGTGGCCGTGAACGTGGCCCTGCACTCCAGCCTGGGTGACGGAGTGAGACTCCAGCTCAAAAAACAAAACAAGACAAAAAACACGAAAAGAAATGGACCAATAACTTTGAGTTCATCTCATAAGTGCTAAAGAAAGAACCCCTCAATCCTAAGAAAACTAACCCGATTTAATGGCACAGGAAAGAACTCAGGCTTCCCATCTCATGTCTGGGCTGGTGACCTGTGTTGTCTATCAGATGTCCCCCTGAACTTGGCAGGAGACTCCAGGCAGATGGGCAGCGGGAGTTCTCTGGGCCCTCTCTAGATACCAGAGGCCCTGCTTCTCAGAAAGCCTCTCTGCCCGTGGCCAGGGACTAGGGGGCTGGGTGGGTGGCATATCAGAGAGGCAAAATGTCACACACCATGAAAGGAAGATGCAGGGAATTTTGTCGTTCAGGCAAGGAAGATGCCTCGAACATTCTGTGCTTCCCAATGTCCTTCATAAACCGTAGACGCCCTCGAGTATCCATTGACCTGGCTTTCCATTAGTCGACCCTTCCCCACCCTCCAGCAAAATCACTGTCTTACAACTGATTTCGGCCAAGGAAATTTGTTCGGAAAATATTTAGAACTAAACTCGGTTAAATCAAAGAGGCGGAAGAAGCCAAGTATTCTGTTTTGGCCCTCACCAGCTGCTGCTTGAATTTCTCCATCCTGTACGACTGTCAAGAATCTGACAGCTCAGCTAATGAAAGCCGAATACACTCGACTCCCCCATCACCCTGTCTCCGGGTGGGGCAAGAGGCTTGGAACCGGTAGGCTCGCTAGAATCAGTGTGCGCAAGGAACCAGTGACGGAGGGCGAAGGTGGCTGGTGAAACACATGACTACACACACACACACGTACAGGTGTATATAAAACAGTACCAGAGTTTAATTCTCTTTTTACACGGCCACAGGCTGTCTTGAGTCAGGGGGACCAGAGGTAGCACCTCCCTCTTGTAGCGATGAGGTGCTGGCCTGATGATGGGCCTGGTACAGGTCGCCCCAGTGAGTCAGAACGAGTCGCAATTGCAGTCCTGCACTAACAGTGCTGGGTATGTGGGGGAGATAAGAGTCACTGCCTCCTCAGTCGACTTGTCCACAGCTCCAGACGCAGTGTGTCCCAGCTGGCAAACGCCTCAAATGCCGATCATGCCTCTCACGCCTATTCTGGGTTTTTAGAAAACACTTTTATATATAGACACATATAGCACAGGAAATGTGCTTATGATGCACTCTAACATAGAGCACAGGAATACACGCTGTGGAGCGCCACCCCAGCCGTCCCCACAGCGGGAAAGTGCGAGGGTTACATCGGTGTGCGCGGCATGGTGGCAGGAAGTGCTGAACGCCACACTCCACACCCTTCCACGCGACTCATCCGACACTGACAACTTGTCTTCTTTGTCTCCGTGGTGGCAGGAGCAGTAGCAGAAACAAGGTCATTTCCTAAGGGTGGAGGATGCCAGACAATCTGGTACAGAGAGAGTGATTCTTATCCAGGAATCATCTAGAAATACTTGCCGAAGCTCAGCTTGGTTTCCGACCCCAGGCTGGGGTCTGCGCTGTAAAGGGTAACCCTGGCTCTGGGGGCCTAGGGCTGAGACAGTGTCTCTCAGACCCACAGCCCCCCACCCACCCATATACCCCAGAGAAAAGTGCACTTCCCATGGCTGATACAAAATTAGGTTGGCACGCTCTTTGACACAGGGAGGGGATCTTTTAAAAGCTTCCCCTCGACTTCTGCAGGTTCTATTTCCCCATGCTCAAGCCCTTCGCGCTCCAAGTTGGAACGGGTCTGGAGAAGTCCCTGGACCCCACTCGCAAGACCTGTGCATGCCTGGGAGGGAGACCAGGGTGGGCAGCTGAGAACTCTTGCTCTTGGAGAGTGGGAAGGGCCTCTGTTCTTAGCTCGCATCTCCTCTTCCCTTGCTGAGCAGTACACAGCTCACAGCTCCTCTCGGCTAGACTGGAGACTCCTGGGAAGTTTCTAGTACTGCTTCTCCACAGAAACACTGGGAGGAGGAAAAATCTGGTATTTTAAGTTCTGTCTGCGTTTCCAGTGGTGAGCCTCGCTCCACCGGGCTGAGAGGAAAAGGGTCCTTGGCCCTCCTCGGAGCCAGGGCTAGGAGCTCTGGACCAGGCGTCTGTAGTGGGGCATGACTTCGTGCTCTGGCAGATGGAGGGCAAATTCCAAGGCCACTAACACGGGGAATTCAAAGGCAATCAGTTCTCGTCTGTTCAGCCTGAACTTTTCTTCCAGTTTCTGTGAGGAAATCAGAAAAGCATGTTAGTTTAAAATAAAATTAAAAAAAAAAAAATTTAAAGATGTGGGGTACAATTCAGAATTAGGTGTGCAAGTGGTCATCATATAAATAAAGTTCGGGCCACTCTTTGGTCTCTAATTTGTCTAGTTTGAGATCAGGTACCTTTATGGATGCTGTGTTCCCCACCCACCCAACCTGGCAGTATCCCGCGACTACCAATCCCTTTCTTAGAGTATTATGGTAAATGTTCAGGGTCCGCTTATGAGAACAAGCATGCTAGTTTTAAAATGAAAATCCTGGGCTTTCTCCTAGCACACCTTCTCTGTCCATCAGCCAGTGAGTGCTCACAGAGAAAGCCATTCTGGGCCAGACTCTGAAAGGGAGACCTGGGCTGTGCCTCCTGCCTTCATGGGGGTGGGGAAGCAACCGCGCCTTTTCCCGAAAGCCTTCGATCTGCCTGGAGTCTTCCACACAGCCTGCAATCTCATTCCACCCTCCAGATCTTTTTTTTTTGAGTGGGAGTCTCACTCGGTCGCCCAGACTGGAGTGTAGCGGCCGCTCCCAGCCACCGCAGCCTCGACCCACTGGGCTCCGGCGATCCTTCCACCTCAGCCTTCTGAGTAGCCGGAATTACAGGCATGCGCCCGGCTGATTTTTTGATTTATTGTAGAGATGTAGTCTCACCTGCCCAGGCGGGTCTCGAACCCGCGGGCTCAGGCAATCCACTCACCTCAGCCTCCCAAAGGCGCGGGATTGCAGGCTGAGCCACCAAGCCTGGCTCACCCTCTAGATCTTAAAGGGTTGATGCTACATGTATCTCTTCTTGACAGATGAGGAAATAGGCTCCCAGAAGTCAAGGATTTTGTCCAGGGTTGCATGGACAGTAAATGGCAGCCTGTGATTCACATCTGACGGGCACTGAAACTCTACCTGCCACCACTAAGCGATTTGGGCTTAGAGAGAAGACTGAAAAACACAGCCGAGCACCTCAACAATAACAACCATGCAGCAAGTTCAGAAGGGAGTGAGCTGACTAGGTGTACTTTGGTCCTTTCCTCTTACGCACAAGGACCTGAGTCCTCGACAAGTCAACACACTTTCAGCGTGTCACACAGCTGGTGTGTATCTGAACAGGGCTGAACCCTGTGGCGCCGGTGGGTCCACCCAACTATAGGAGCTGCTGGAGCCAGAAAAGGAGAACCGAGGTGAGGGTGGGCCCAGAGGCCTTGTTTTGCTGGGCACATTCTGCCTTGGCTTCAATTAAGCTTTTGACTTCATTAAAAAAAAAAACCTCACCTCCAGAGCGGTGATTGACTGCTTTCAGATTACAACTGGGGTAGGCTCTTGTGTTAGGCTTTTTGCTACAGCAAGTGGCTTGTCAAATCATTACTATCATATCCTGCATTAATACCATTAGCTTTTGCTGTGTGGTATATACTCAACTATAATTAAACTGCATACTATCACTTTTAATTTTAATTTTTGAGTCAAGTCTCACTCTGTTGCCCAGGGCTGGAGTGCAGTGGCATGATCACAGCTCACCACAACTTTGACCTCCTGGGCTCAAGCGATCCTTCTGCTTCAGCCTCATAGTAGCTGGGACTACCAGTGTGTGCTACCATGCCTGGCTAATTTTTTTGATTTGCTGTACAGACAAAGTCTCACTGTGTTACCTAGGCTGGTCTTGAATTCCTGGGCTCAAGGAATCCTCCCACTTTGGCCTCTCGAAATGCTGGGATTACAGGCATGAGCCATAGTGCCTGGCCTACGATTTTTATTAATATTTGCTATGTTTAAAGAGTCATTAGTTCAGAGTTGGCATTCTCAGTTCACAGTTGGTACCAATGACCAACTCCATGTTCAAGTATTTACTGTCCAAACTAGATGATTCTGTATAATTTCTGTTTCTTTTCTTTCTTTTTTTTTTTTTGAGTTAGATTCTCACTCTGTCACCCAGGCTGGAGTGCAGTGGCATACTCACAGCCAGCCACCCCAGCGCTGACCTGCTGGACTCCCGCCTCAGCCTTCCAAGTAGCTGGAACTACAGGTGAGTGCTACCTTTGCCTGGTTAATTTTATGTGAAGAGTACCTAACCTCTATTAGCATCCTTTCATTCTTTTGCCTTTGTCACTTAAGATAAGCAATACATATGGGGCACTAAATGAACCCTCTCTTTTATTTTCTGTGTTCTGATGCTCTGATATCTGGGGCCTCACTGACCCTGGAGGGACTGCCCTCCTAGGGTTTGCCAAGTCCTCCACAGTGATCTCCCCCACCCCTCTTTTTTTTTGAGTAGGAGTCTTACTCTGTCACCCAGGCTAGAGTGCAGTGGCATACTCATAGCCACCATAGTCTCGACCTGCTTGGCTCAGGCAGTTCTTCCACCTCAGCCTTTCAAGTAGCTGGAACTACAGGCATGCACCACCATGCCTGGCTAATTTTTTGATTTATTGTAGAGATGAGGTCTCGCGAAGGTGCCCAGGCTGGTCTCAAACTCCTGGGCTCAGGTGATCCTCTTGCTTCGGCCTCCCAAAGTGTTGGGATTACAAGTATGAGCCACCATGCCTGGCTGACCCCTTTTGTTTCTCAAATGCAAACCAACCAGTCCAGACCCCACTCCCCACCTCCTCTTTCATAGGCTCTCACATTCCAGGTCGCTATCCAACTGCCCTAATCACCCGAGGGCCAGTTACCAGAAAATGAGGGACAGTCCCAGACCCCACTGAAAGTTTCCAACGAGTCAATCCTAAACCTGCTGACCCTGCCTTGTTCATTTTTCTGTGAAAACCACATAAAGGATGCTTCTCACAGTTCCCTCCTCTTCCCCTGCCTCTTGGTCAACCCCAGAGCTTCCCTACGTAGCCCCCATGGCATGCCACACCCCTTGTTATGGGTTGAATGTTTGTGTCCCCTCACAATTCCTGTTTTGATGGGCTACTCTCCAGTGTGATGGTATTAGGTGGTGGGGCCTTTGGGACTGATTAGACAGACCCAGGGCATGCAGTTCGTATGATGGGATTCACGTCTCTATGAGAAATCTGTCTCCTTCCCTCTACAATTAAAGCAAAGGATTGCCTGAGTCTAGGGGTTCAAGACCAGCCTGGGTAAATTGGTGAGACCTCATCCCTACAACAAATCCAAAAATTAGCAGGGTGTGGAGGCGTGTGCCTGTATTTCCACCTACTTGGAAGACTGAGACAGAAGGATCCCCTGAGCTCAGCAGGTCAAGGCTGTGGTGGTCATGAGAGTGTCACTGCACTACAGCCTTGGTAAAAGAGTGAGACTCAACTCAAAAAAAAAAAAAAGATGGAGCAAGACATCAACCAAAGAGAAGGGCCCTTACCAGAACTGAAGCACCTGGACCCAGACCTTGGATGTCCCAGCCTCCAAAACTGTGAGAACTACATTTCTGTTGTTTAAGCTGCCTAGTCTAGGTGTTTTTGTTATGGTGGCACAAGCCAAGACACCCCTCCTCTTGGGAACCGTGACAAACTGTCTTTTCAATGACTATTGTCTTCTGATCTGTTGGTTTTATTGTACCTCAAATTTTCTATTAATACATTGAATTTTAAAACAGGGGTTCATGTATTCATCCAAGGAGACTGGTGTTTCCTTGCTTTGGTGGGCCTCTCCTTTGAAAGAAGAGGTGCCACCCTGTCAAACCCACATCCTTCTCCGAAGAGGAGCCGAGCCAGGCACAGGAAGCCATGGTCTTGTTGAACCAACATGTCTGATGCTGGATGCTCTGTGGGTCACACTGCCCAGAAGCCCCCTGCTGTCACAGTGGCTTCTATGGCTGTGAGAATGATGACCTCCAGTGGTGTCTGAAAATGGGTTTTAATGACCGGATTCCAGGCTGGAGATCTTTGGTCTTGTCAAAGTGGATCATTCGTCTAAGATGGCCTGAGATGGGGGCGTCTGACATTCACCAAGGATCAGAATCCTTCTAAGTAAGGTCGCTGACCAGGGCCCCTCTGAGAGAAGAGCCCTAGACTGGAATGTGCACTCCCCCAGTCATCGGGTCCCAGGCCACTTACGTCAATTAAATGCTTGACTTCATGTTTTTTGAGGTCACTTCCAATTTTGGCTGCTAACAGCACACATGCTCCAGCACAAAGCTTCCGGTTCTGCTTGTTGAGCTTTCCCTTGAGGGCGAGCTTTTCAAAGTAGACAAAGGCCATGGCCACCGTAGGCTCCTCCAGGCCACAGTCCTCCTGAGCCAGCTTCCGCATCTCTCGTTTCAGACTGCAGAAAGACAGCGAGGAAAGAACCGTCCTGTTGTAACTTAGGGTTTCAGGGGACCCAATGAAAAAGACTACTCCATCTTGAAAGCCTTTTCTCCTCATTCCCAGAGGATGATGTGGACTGAGATCACGTCTAGAAGCGTGAAAGCTCCATATGTGTGGGGAGCAGATGTGGGGAGCAGATGTGTAGCTGGGGCTTTGGACGCCTCTTTGTTGTGAGGCTGTCCAGACCATGTCTACTTTTATTCTTGCTCCAGACCCAGCAGTGTGAGCTGCCGTTGCCACTTCCGGCATGGTGATGGACAGGCACAGCACCCCAGGGAGGCAGAGAGACCAGTCAGGGCTCCTGTGACCATGCCATGGGACCCAGAGGACCCCAATGAACACAAGTGGATGTCCCAGAGACTCCCTGGAGCCCAGGATTAGAGCCGACCAAAGTTAAAGAGGGGCGGCATCTGGGAGATTCTGATCATTCCAGAGAGAGGATTATAGAAATAAATTAGGTGCTTGGTCGACGTGCTGCCAAATAGCCAGGACGTTCATTAACTAGAGAAGAAAAGAGGTTAGGCTAAGAGCACAGCAATCAGTGTCCTCAGGAAGGCTGCCCAGCAAACCGACAAAGTGTGAAGACTTAATTTTTCCCAATTTAAATAGATGATTTGGGGCCATTGTTGTGTTCAACTCTGGTGTGTCCACGTGGCTCCCTGAGTTATGGCTGCCATGTTTCCTAGCTTTGGCCCCCTCTCCTACCTTGGGGAGGTGAATCTCCTCTTTCTCTAAGTTACTTTCTAAATAAACTATATTTTCCAATCTAAAAAAAAAAAAAAGATTATTTGGGTTGGCCCATGCCAAAATCAAATCAGTATTAGAGTACACACGTGTGTAAATGTCAGCAGACATTCCATGTTGGTATAAGCATCTAGTTTGTTACTACAGACACACACATGTGTGCGTGCATGCACGCCACAGTACTAGAAGTCACAACACAAACCCTGTAGGGCCAGTTGTTTTGACTGTTTGACCTGCAGATATGAGTCACCACAGAGTCAATCTGGTCCGCTGCAGGGGAAATACGGGCCTGACTTTGCGTTGGCGATGGCCTAAAGATAAGGCTTGGCTATCACCTCTGGGTGCACAACTGTGGGTAGAGTTATCTTATAGTGAGTTGCAGACAGCATGAAGCGATTCTTTCACCGAGGGAACCTCCCCCCAGGCCTGTGTCAGCCGGGTGGCCAGATCTCTGCCTTCTGCCCTGCTTCCCTGGGCCCTCCCACCACATCCCGGCCTGAGTCAGCCAGCAGAGGGGAGCCCCTTTTGGCCGAACATCACAGTGTTTCGAACACAGGAACAATGGGGGGACCAATGTACAAAACAGAAGCTGCATGTGTGCCAGAAGAGAGGCTTGGAGGGCACGTTCAAGGGGATGTCGAGCCTCCCGTACCTCCTAATTTTGCTGAGTGTTAACTTAATGTGAGGAAACTTCTCCTTGAAGGTCTCGTTCATGTCCTTCTTGAGATCCGAGGGCTTCACATAGTCAATCACCGTGGTCTGAAACAGATTGGGCAGCACAAGTCACTCCTTAAAATAAGGGTCAAGTGTAATAATTACGTGCCAACGTTCAACTCCCCAAACCATCCAGCAATGGAAAAACTCAGATTAGAGCCACGACAAGGGCTCTGCTGAGTCCAGGATATAAAAGGGGCTGTGGCCTCAGAGCTAGATAGAAAACAAATCGCCACCACTAGCAGGATGAGGCAACATTTAGAAAAACTTGCCTAAAGACCAGCAGAAGTCCATGACTAAGGGGGGGAGCAGCCCCTCTTTGGGTTCCTGTGTTTCAGGTTGTTGTGCACACTGTGCAGTGTTTAAGGGCATGAGATTTGGACTCATAGAGCTCTGGGTTCAATCCACACGGGACCACTCCCTAGTCATCTGGCTTTGGGAGACTTATTTAAACCATCCTACATCTCAAGTTCCATGCCTGTGCAACGAGAACACTGCCTATGTCACATGGCTATTTTGAGAATTACATGAGAAGTGCTCTGTACAGTGCCTTGGCACACAACAAGTGCTCAGTAAATGTTAGCTATTCTTTTTAAAATTTATTTTAAAATTGTGGTAAAATACACATAACAGAACATTTGCCCTGATTTTTTTTTTTTTTGAGTCGGAGTCTCACCCAGGCTGGAATGCAGTGGTACGCTCATGGCCACCGCAGCTTCAACCTTCCGCCTCAGCCTTCCAAGTAGCTGGAACTACAGGCCCGTGTCACCACGCTTGGCTAATTTTTGGTTTATTGTAGAGATGAGGTCTCGCCAAGTTGTCAAGGCTGGTCTTGAACCCCTGGTCTCAGGCAATCCTCTCACCTTGGCCTCCCAAAGTGCTGGGATTACAGGCTTGAGCCATTGTACCCAGTCTTTTTTTTTTTTTAGAGACAGAATCACACTATGTTGCCTAGACTTAAGTGCAGTGACTATTCACAAGTGTGATCATAGCACACGGCAGCCTCCAACTCTTGGGCTCAAGCAATACTCCTGCCTCAGCCTCCTAAGTAGCTGGGACTACAACTGTGGACCTCTGTGCCAGGCTCTGAAAATTTACTATTTTAAACATTTTTAGGTGTACAGTTTCATTGTATCATGTACATTCACACTGTTGTGCAACCATCACTGCCATTCATTCACAGATTATTTTCGTTTTCCCAAACTGAAACTCGGTGCCCATGAAACACAAACCCCCTACTTGCTCCCTCTAGTCCCTGGCTGCCACCTCTCCACTTTTGGTCTCTGTAAATTTGCCTCATAAGTGAAATCATGTATTTGTCTTTGTTACAGGCTTATTTCACTTAGCATGTTGTCTTCCAGGTTCATTCCCATTGTAGCATGTGCCAGAATTTCTTTTCGAGGCTGAATAACATCCCATTGTATGTATATAATGGTGGCTATTCTTAACCATCCCTTGAATCTTTGGTTTTCTTCGTCCTCCCTTCCCCCTTTCTAAATTCCATCTATCCTTAAACACTGGCGCCTTAGAGTCCTTTCTGAATAGTCTGGTCTTCCTTGCTCCTGTGCCCTGCACTGTTAACTCTGCATTGAAGTCTTTTGCTGGGTGTCACCAGTTAGTCTCATCCCTCACTTCCCAAGGCTGGGTCTCTTCTCGCTGATCTTAATCTGGCAAAGCCCAAGAAAGAAGAAACGACAGATGCTGACTCGAAGACCCATTCCCATGGATGGCCCATGCCAGCAAAGCACATCAAAGGTTTTTTAAATGGCTGGAACAAAAGTTGGTGGTGTTCTATGAACATCTCCACCCACAGGACACAAAACCTTGAAGCAGACACACAGCATGACTTTGGTGTCAGTTATTGGTGAAGAGCAGGTAACCGGCCGGCATATCCCAGTCCAAACTGATCTTCATGGCACCGTCTTTATTTTTTTTTGTCACGATCTCACTCTGTCACCCAGGCTGGAGTACAATGGCATGCTCACGGCTACAGCAGCCTCGACCTGTTGGGCTCAGGTGATCCTTCTGCCTCAGCCTTCCAAGTAGCTGGAACCACAGACATATGCCACCATGCCCGACTAATTTTTTTGATCTATTGTGGAGACGAGGTCTCGCCATGCTGCTTAGGCTGGTCTTGAACTCAGGCAATCCTCTCGCCTCTGCCTTCCAAAGTGCTGGGATTATAGGCTTGAGCCACCATGCCCAGCTTTTTAAAAAAATTCTTTTATTAATCGTTGTTTCTCTGGGGAATAAAGGCAAACCAGCTGGGTGCAGTGGCTCATGCCTGTAATACCAGCACTTTGGGAGGCTGAGGTGGGAGAATCACTTGAGCCCAGGAGTTGGAGATCAGTCTGGGAAGCATAGCCAAGACCTTGTCTCTACAAAAATCAAAACAAAACAAAACAAAAATTAGGTGGGCGTGGTGTTGCATGCCTGTAGTCCCAGCTACTTGGGAGGTTGAGGAGGAAGGATCACCTGAGCCCAGGAGGTTGAAGCTGCAGTGAGCCGTAATTGTATCTCTGCACTCCAGCCTGGGTGACAGAGTGAGACTCAGACTCAAAAAAAAAGAAAGAAAAAAGGCTAACCATAGCAACATCAGCTCCATCTCCACCAAACTCGCTCAGAGTTTTATAACATGGGGGTGGAAGAAATTAGGGACCTGCTCCCTAATTCACATCTGTGAATGTGATGCCACACCTTCTTCCTGATACATGGTCCTTCTGGACCAATCAGGAAGGTCTACCTGAGGTGGTTTGGGAAGTGCCTGTTTCTGGTACCTGCTAGAGGCGTGCCTTGCAAGGAGTAGGGAAGTGGCAGCCCAAGGGCTCTCACCAGGAGCCCCAGCGGACAGTTGGCCATGAAAAGGGCTGGGGTGGTGACCGGGTGGCTCTGCCTGCAGCAAGTTGGGCCACACAGAGAATGTCACTCATCCTCTCTGAGCCTCACCTTCCTCTCTTCCAAAATGAGATGAGAACACCCCATGGGGCTGCTTTCTGGGTTTATCTTGAAGATCAAAGTGAGAATAGAATGTACTTAAAGGACATTGGCAAGTTTCATCAGGGGCACAAAATGGGAGAAGGCCGTAAATGTGGGGTCCACGGCTGTCCCATTAAGTCACAGGCTTTGAGCGTGGGGCCCTGGTATCTGCACCGCGATGAGTTTTCCTGGCGATTTCTACCCACTGGAGTCCCAGGATGTGCAGATCAGATGCTCCTTGCTGGCTAACACCTACTCTCGACTAGGCTTGTGGTGCCACTTCTGCTGGCTCCTAAACCCCACGGGGTCAGGCTGTTCTCCATGAATCACCTTCACTGTGTACTGTTGGTGTGAATATCCACCCTTCTCCTGGGATGCCCTGCTGTGCTACAGAGGCTGCAAAGCTAACAGGTATGTTTCCCGGACTCCTCTGCAGCTAGGATTCCAACTACAATTCCAGCTCTTCCTCTGGGATGCTCTGGTAGGAGAAGACAGAATCGGAGCAGGCCCGTGCCTCCGCTGTTTCTGGTGCCAAGAAGGTCCAGTCAGTAGCTTCTGGGTGCCTGTTTTGTGGGTGTAGACCACAGTTGGGTTGTATAAATCTGAGCCAGCAGCAGGTCCCTAATTGTGGTGGTTTCCTGACCATGGTGGTGGTTGGGGCTGGCAGTCAGGGCCAGTTTCCCAAGTCAGAAGCCAGGGTCCTGATCTCAGAAGAGGTAAGGAAGTAGCCTCAATGGTGGCCTGGCTCTGACGTGTGGCTTGAGGGATGCTGAAACATTGACTTAGGCTGTTCTGTCAGCCTCCCCAATGATTCTAATAGGGTATTTAGTATCTACCATGTAATGAATCCCTTTCTTCTTCTTTTTTTAAATTTTTGAGTTGGAGTCTCACTGTCACCCAGACTGGAGTGCACTAGCCGCTCCTGGCCACTGTAGCCTCGACCTGCTGGGCTCCAGCCATCCTTCCGCCTCAGCCTTCCAAGTAGCTGGAACTACAGGCGCGTGCTACCATGCCCGGTTAATTTTTGATTTATTGTAGAGATGAGGTCTCGCCAAGTTGCCCGGCAGGTCTCGAACCTGTGGGCTCAGGCAATTCACTCACCTCAGCCTCTCAAAGTGGGACTACAGGCTGAGCCACTGAGCCCAGCTTTTTCTTTCTTTTCTTTTTTTCTTTTAAAGAGACAGGGTCTTGCTATGTTGCCCACGCAAGACTCAAGTGACCCTCCCGCCTCAGCACCATACCCAGTGCTTTCTTCTTCATTTACCTAAAATGGATGCTATACTTTGTAATCAAACCACGACTGGTACACACACACTGTATGTTTGCTGATAGCTCCAAACCACGACTGTAACTGAGCCTCACTTTGGAGAAGGCGAGAGAAGGGAAAAGCTTAGATCACCCTAAAGGCACCAACGGTATCAGTTCACTGGAGCTTGGAGTCCTGCCCCCAGGCCCTGGCTCTCACTTTCTGGTCATTCCTAGCTTTAGAAGGCCCTCAGGAGCCAACAACTTGACTCAGCCTGCAGCCCTGGAGCAGGGCAAGGCCCACTCCTGGCATGGGCCTTGCAGGAGAGGCTGTCTTCATAAGCAGCCTCGTCCTAGCTCTTGGGGCATGAAGCTGGAGTCTACTGTTTCTGACTGTGAGGAGTGGAAATGTGTATTGAATTCCAGGTTGGCCGCTGAAGAGGAGGATGGAGGGAAGGCCCCTGAGCCGATGCTGTGTGACTGCTGGCCCAGCAAATGGGCTCTATTGGGAAGGCCCGGGGTGGCCACAGGTCGGCGAAAACCAGCATCTCTGGGGTCACCCGCTTTGAGAAATCCGAGGGCATCTGAGTAAAGTGGCTCCGCACTTGGACTGCCACCGACTTCTGCTGCCTACACCGAGGCAGGTGCCCAATGATATCGCTTAAATCTATTCTGGGGTGAGATAGGCTAGTTTTGGCAGCAATGAAATGCCTCCAAGACTCAAGATGGAAAGAGAATGGCACATCATGCTCCTCAGTCTGCATGCCTGAGGCTGACGGAGAACAGGAAATGACTGTATTAGCCTCCTGCGGCTGCTATAACGAAGTGCCCCAGATGTGAACTGCCTCACAGTCCTGGAGGCTAGAAGTCTGAAATCAAGGCATCAGCAAGGCTGTCCTCCCTCTGCAATCCCTTTCTTCTTCTTTTCTTCTTCTTCTTCTTTTTTTTTTTTAAAGAGACAAGCTCTTTCTATGTTGCCCAAGCCAGACTCAAGTGATCCTCCCATCTCAGCCACCTGAGTGGCTGGGCCTACAGGTGTGCACCACCATATCTGGCTACCCTTTCTTCTTCATTTTAGCTAATGACTCTCCCTTTGTTGCTTTTCCCTAGCTTCTGGGATGCACAGGTGTTTCCAGGTTGCGTGCATCGTTCCAATCTCTGCCTGTGTCCTCTCTCGAAGTCTGTGTCCCCTGTTAAGGCCACCAGGCACATTGGACTAGGGCCCATCCTACTCTAGCATGACCTCATCTTAACTAATGTACATCCGCAACAACCCTGCTTCCAAATCAGGTCACATTCTGAGATACTGGGGATTAGGAACTCAGCACATCTTCTGGGAGGACACAGTTCTGCCCAGAGTGGTGGCTTGCTCCTAACGGTGCCACTTGCTGGGCTCTGATGCCAGGCTGGACGCAGAGCTGCCCCTGCCTGTGGAGCCCTCAGCCTCGACGCTGGCCCTAGCTCTGCCCAACACAGCAGGCCTTGGCCTTGGCCATGGCCTACGTCATGGGTTTCTTCTTTCCCAGCTGCTCCCTCTTCAGTCTTGCTTCTATCCCTGCTGGGATTCTGAGCTGCGGTTCAGTGGTGAAGAATGCAGATTCAGGGTAAGATCCCTGGGTTGAAATCCCAGCTCTGTCACACAGTATCTGGGTGGCCTAGTGCAAACTGCTTATGCACTCCATGCCTCAGTTTCCTCCTCTGGCTTCTCTATCTCCCGCTTTATGTTGATCTGTGGGGCGGTTCCATGTCCTGCTCATACTCCACTGCATGGGTTACACAGTTGGGACAGTTGAGTGGGAGCCCCCAACGTGACAATCTGCTCCAGACCCTTGCTCAGAAGGGCCCTCGCACACATGCCGCACCTCGAGGCCACTGCTCTGCACCAGCCCCTCACAGGCCAGACCCTGGGGACTGGATGGATCACCCTGAGGCAGGTTCCAGAGAGGATGGATGTCTGCAATGTCTCCTCAGGACCAGGTCCTTCTGGGAAAAACTTCGAGTCAGGGAGGCCATGAGTTCTCAGCAAGTCCTGTGTGTCTTGAGGGAGTCTTATGACAACCCTTGGAGGCTGGGCCTCCCAGCCACATCAAGAGATGTGGTGAGCCTCCTTTCAGTGATAGGGTGAGCCAAGGAGGTAGTCATGGGAGACTGGGCCGCAGGCATGGGGTTACAACAGTCCCTCAGGGACTCATTCTTTCTTGCTTGGGGGAGAATAAACGAAAAGTGAAGCCAGTGCTTTGATCGAGGTCACCTACTTAGTTTCCTTGTGTGGGTTATAAAAACTTGCAGTGCCTGGGTTTTACCAGTGCGTGTCACTATAAATCAAGGTGCAAATTCAACAGGCTGTGCTCCTTCTTGGTCTGGGACCGTCAGAGTGACCAGTTTTCAATGCCACCCAATTCCGGGCTTCACCAGGGCCAGACTGTGAGACACATGGGCAGCTCTAGCCCTGTGGCACTTGTATTTTCACAGAGCCGGTCATTCCGCTCCTGGATGAGAGGTTGTGGAAACACACTGTCTCACAGCTGCCTGGCCATAGGGAAGCTATGTGTGTGCAGCTGTGTAAAGGAGAGGAGGGGAAGGTCAGCTGGAAGGAGGACACCATCCAAAACACAGGATGTCCAGAGACACGTAGTTCAGAGAGCAGCCCTGCCCTGCTGGTCCACAGGGAACAAGTGAGGAGGCCCGGTGTGGGAGTGGACACAGAAGAATCCCTTCTGAGAGAACAGGAAAAGATCACACCTGAGTTGTCTAGCCAGAAAAGCCCACCACATCTGTTGCAGAGACACTGGGACACCCTTTGCTATTTATAAAAACAAAGTCCTGATAAGAGAGAGGAACTGAACGTGGGCCCCATCCTGGTCTACCAGCCACAATGCTAAAGTGAAGCCCTCTCGGCTAGGGCTGGGGTACAGCGGGAGAGAGTGTGTGGGGGGTACATATGCCCCAGCATTATCCAGGAGAACATTGAGGGCTTGGAGATGACAGGTCGCTGGGCTAATTCCAACAGAAACAACAGAAAAGATGCTTCCACTGTCGAGCCTGGGCAAGCTCTGGCCTCCTTAATCTCCCACTCTCCTGCCTTCTAAGCCTTCCTAGGAGTTCTTGGAGCAGCTCTGAACAGGTTGAGCTTGGTAGAGACTCTGCTACTGTTCTCTGACCCATGGGCAGGAACATTCTGAGGGACCTGGGATCCAGCCCAGCCCCGGCCTACCAGTGCCTCAGGAGCTGGCTGTGAGCCCTGGGGCAGGTGGGCAGCCTCTCCAAGTCTTGGTTCCACGCCATGCCAGTGAGAGGAAGGAAGGACACAAGGCCCTGGTCTGGGCAGCTCCTTCCAGCACCACGAACCACCGCACCACCAGGCTCTGCTGCTTTGTCTATGGGCGTTCATGCTCATCTGGGCACTGGGAAAGCAGATGTTCCGTGCTTGTTAAGGCAATTAGGCAGCACTGCGGCCCTCGCCTAGATCCATCTAACCACCGACAGATGGGCATTTCAGCTGTTCTTTGCATTTAATCCTTTCCCTAAGAGGACAGCACATCACAAAGAAGTCATGGCAATGAGCGGGCAGCCTACACAGCCCAGGGCTGCATTTGCTGCTATTTCTACCCCTCAAATTCAAAATACCGAATCCTGGATTGACTTTCCTCCCTTTGCTTTGGGGGAGTGACTCTTCAGCGTCCCTCACTGAAACAAAACGGTGTGCAGGGGAAGGAAAGCTGCCTTGGCTTCAGGCTTCCACCACCACGGGGAGGTGACCCTGTGCAATGCATGTTCAGTACAGGTGACTGTCGAGTGTCTGGATACAGGCTGTCTGAAAGTAGAGTCTCTGCCCACAGGAGATGCCACTGGGTGGACGTGGGCCCAAGTTCACACACATTCAGCATTTTTGTTGAGTCGGGGGTCTCGCTACTGTTGCCCAGGCTGGAGCGCGGTGGCATGATCATAGCTCACTGCAGCCCAGACCTCCTGGGCTCAGGCGATCCTCCTGCCTCAGCCTCTCAAGTAGCTGGGACTACAGGTACGCACCACCACACCGGGTTAATTTTAAAGTTTTTTTTTTTGTAGAGAAAAGGTCTTGCTATGTTATCTAAGCCTAGGAGGGAGAAGGGATCCTCCCTCCTCAGTCTCCCAAAGTGTGGAGATTACAGGCATGAGTCACTGAGTTGGCCTCTAGATAGTGTTTGATGCGCTTTATAAAATGCAAGCTTCTTAAGCAGTGGCCACAGAACATGAGCTGAACCATGAACAGAATGTCATGTTCAAAATCATGATTATCAAAAATCTAAGACAAATACAGAGAAAGAACAGGGTGCTGGGTAAAATGTCAAGGTCATATTTCATGTTGTATTAATCTTGCAAGAAAAAATAATTTAAAAGTACTATAGGCTGGGCTCGGTGGCTTAGCCTGTAATCCCAGCACTTTGGGAGGCCGAGGTGAGAGGATTGCCTTGAGCCTGCGGGTTCGAGACCTGCCCTGGCAACTTAGCGAGATCTCGTCTCTACAATTAAAATAAAAAAAAATTAGCCAGGCATAGTAGCGCGCATCTGTAGTTCTGGCTACTTGGAAGGCTGAGGTGGAAGGATTGCTGAGCCCAGCAGGTCAAGGCTGTGGTGGCTGGGAGCATGCCACTACACTCCAGTCGGGGCGACAGAGGGAGACTCCAACTCAGAAAAAAAAAAAGTACTATAATACTATAATAACTACATGTTATAACACAGATGAACCTCGAAAATGCTATACTAAAAAAAAGAAGCCAGACACAAAAGATCATATATTGTTTGATTCCACTGATTAGGAAACATTCAGAAAAGGCAAATCCAGAGAGACAGAATGAGGGTCGCCTAAGGCTTAGGTAAAGGGCATTAGCTTAAGGGCACGGGGGCTTCTTTGTGGGATAATGAGAGTGTTCTGAAATTGATTGTGGTAATGGCTGTCTAACTTTGTGACTCTACTAAAAACCACCTAACTGTAAAAGAAGCTTTCAAAAGGTGAATCATACGGTATCTAGATTACATCTAATATTGCTGTTACAAAAACCCAGCAGAATCACACCCAAAACAGCCCTCCCTTCTCCTCACAGCACCATAAGGCATTTTAACACTTACATCTAAAGCTGGTGGGCCTCTGAGACTCACTCCATAGCTACTGTCCACGCCTGTGCACCTGAGTCTCAGGGAGGCGGCGAGGCACCTGGCCATTCTCTGTGCTTCTGTAATGTGGCATTTCTTTTCGAGACAGGGTTTTGCTGTTGCCCAGGCTGGGATGGGGTGCAGTGGTGTGATCACAGCTCCCTGTAGCCTCGAACTCCTGGGCTGAAGCAATCTTCCCACCTCAGCCTCCAGAGGCGCTGGGGCTATAGGCATGTGCAACCACACCTGGCTAATTTTTTGTTTTGTTTTTGGTAGACGTGGGAGTCGGAGGGCAGGGGTGGTTATGGTCTCACTATGTTGCCCAGGCTAGACTTTGAACCCCTGGGCTCAAGCTGTCCTGCCTTGGCCTGCCAAAGTGCTGGGATTACAGACATGAGACACTGCCCCCAGCCAATTTTCCTTAGAGTGAGCCCGTCCCCCAATAACCTTAAAATCCGAGGCCTGGAAGGTGCTTTGCAAAGGAGGGGATGGGGCTCAAGCTCCTTTGGCTTCCGACAAGTCCACCCCGCAGACAGGCAAGCAAGTGCCTAAACCATTGCAGTCACTTTTTGGGGGGCCCAAGTTTCACTCTATATCCTGGGCTGGACCATCATGGCTTACTACAGTCTTGATCTCCTGGGCTCAGACAATCCTTCCACCTCAGCCTTCCATGTAGCTAGGAACAACAGTGTTGCCACACTCGGCTAATTTTTTGATTTATTGTAGAGAAAATTATTTGTAGAGATGAGGTCTTACTATGCTGCCCAGGCTGGTCTCAAACTCCTGGGCTCAGGCAATCCTCTCGCCTCCATCACCCAGCCATGATCACTTTTAATGAAAAAAAATACACGCACGCACGCACGCACGCACGCACGCACGCACGCACGCACGCACGCACGCACGCACGGGGAGGAAGTAGGGAACAGAGTCCAATCGTCTACCACATGGAAAGTTGAATTAGTCTTCCTTTTATTAAGTCAGTTATTTCCCACAGCTCAGTATCTCATGCGGTACTGAACAATTAAGTTCTAAGATATATTCCTTAACCCTAGGAGATACGGGGGTAGACAAAGGGCTTTCTGTACGAGTACTTAGACTCTGATATTTAGTAAATAAAAGAATAGTCATTTTATCATGGAGATCCATCCACCCATGGCTAGCATAAAGGATGTTAGTAGGTTTTCTTTCTGATTTTAAAGAGCACCAAGAGGGATTTCTTCCTAAGAAGGGAAAAGGATCCGGGAATCCATTCAGGTAACTGTTAATTTTGCTGGTATTCTCTCAGCGCTCTCACTTACTTTCTCCCTCTTAATTGCTTTCCACACCCATAAAGGTGGAAAAAAACAAAAACCCACTACCGACCTGAGCTGCCAGGTTCTGATGATAAATAACCACTCTCTCTTGCAACTCTAATTACATGCCAAGTGGTGCAGGGAGCCGGAAGCACCCGCCCTCCCTCCAAGACACACCGCCGTCTTCAGCTAACACCCCACAAGAGCCTGCACGCAGCTGGGCGACTCAGCACATTTTCATGTTCTGTGGTCACCTTCTGGAAACTCGAAGACCAGACCACAGCTGCAATTGGGCTTGCACACCTGTCCCAGGAATATTTTTTTTAAGCTCAAAATCTAACCTTTGCTCTTTCAGAGTGGATAATAGTGGCAGGGAAATGATACCCACAGATCAAAGTTAAGAAATACAAATACTGAGGCAAGGCCGGTTTGAAAGGGCGCCACTGGTGCTTTACGAGTGACTGCTTCTCGGGCACCTCCCACTTTAAGGCATGTCCTCGCGGTGGCCACAAATGGCCTTTTATATTATACTCAGAACAAACACAGATGAAAACATATATCTGACGACATCCTGGCTGGTTAATATCACCTACACTATGACTCAGAAGTCCCGCCCCTAGATGTTTACCCAGGTCTAATGAAAATGTGTACCCACAGAAAGACATGCCCAAGGATGCTCACAGCAACAGTATTCATAATATCCCTACCCTGGAAACTACCCAAATGTCTATCAATGGGAGAAAGAATAAATAAACTGGTACATCCAACACCAGGCAGCAATTAAAAAAACAAAAAACCGAAACTACTGATACACTTACATGGGGGAATCTCCCAGATAATTTTTATGAAAGACGACGGAAAAAAAAAAAAAAAGCCTATACAGACCATATGATCCTATTTACCTGAAGTTCAAGAATAGGATGAACTAATCTATGGTGATGGAAGTCAGGATGGCAGTTGCCTTTGCGGGGAGGGGACGGGAGGAGTAGCATGAGCAGGGGGACCTTGCTGCAGGGATAGGAATGCTCTCTGTCTGGATCAGAGTGGTGGTTACAAAGCTCACAGAATGGTACACTTAAAATGGATGCATCTGATCGTGTGTAAATTACAACACAGCTACAGCAGGGTTTGATGGGTGAAAGGATGAGCCCATCGCTTTGAGGGTTGCTTGATTTAGCAGATGCCACACAGACATCTCAGAGCCTGGAATTCCACAGGAATGGGACATCCTGAAACACTGGATGACAGTTCCGGGGTCTCAGGCTGGGCTGGCCTACTTGGCCTGTTTTGGGGCCTGAGGAAGACGGGATAAGGCAGCAGGCCCCCAGAGCCTTGGGGGCTGATAGTTAGGGAGGTGGGCGGCACTGCACAGACGCAGCCTGTGACCGGCATGCCTGCTCCGATGCCAATCACCAAGGACAGGTGGCAGCTGGAAGTCCTGAAAGTGGGCGGGCCAGGCTTCACAGACCTGCTGTCCTGGGCCCCAGTCGCCCACCAGGGAATGCGCTGACCCAAGCCAGGCCTGTCTGGGCGGAGTGCCCCACACCAGCCCCATGGCTAAATGGGCCCCAGGTCCTCTGAGAGGGCTTTCCACAACCTGGCCCGAATAACCCTGTCGTGCCCATTGCCTACCCTAGGAGTCACCTGCCATATCAGGTGCAGTTCCCTGGGCCTGGGGCTGAGTCGGGGGGGGGGGGGGGGGGGCAGGGCTTATCAGGATCCTCATTCTGAGAAATTGGTCTCCCTGCCTGTGTGTGCATGTTTGTAGAGGGAAGGGCAGTGACTTTTCCTGTCAGAAATAATGGTTCTTCCAGGCGTAGTAGCTCACACCTATAATCCCAGCACTTTGGGAGGCTGAGGCAGGAGGACTGCTTGAGCCCAGGAGTTCGAGAGCAGCCTGGGCAACACTGTAAGACCTCATTGCTACAAACAAACAAAAAAAGCCAAACCAAAATTAGCTGGTCGTGGTAGTGCACACCTGTGTCCCAGCTACTTGGGAGACTGAGGCAGAAGGCTCTCCTGAGCCCAGGAAGTCAAGGCTGTGATAAGCCGTGATCATGCCACTGCACTCCAGCCTGGGAGACAGAGGGAGACCCTGACTCAAAGAAAAATAGTTTGAGACCAGTCTAGGCGACATAGCAAGACCTCATCTCTACAATAAATCAAAAAACTAGCTGAGTGTGGTGGCATGCTCCTATAGTTCCAGCTACTTGGAAGGCTGAGGCGGGAGAATCGCCTAAGCCCAGCAGGTGGAGGCTGTAGTTACCATGAGTGTGCCACTGCACTCCAGCCTGGGCGACAGAGTGAGACTTCAACTCAAAAATAAAGCAGTATCAAATTTATGCAAAACCAATCTCTTTCACACTTCCAGGTCTTCCCACGTGGGTTCTCCCTACCCAAACCTGGTACAGCGTCCCCTTCTTACCCCCTACCTTTGATGCCGTTCATCTGGGGGCCCACCTCCGAGCCTTCTGTCATCTCTGCCACTTTCCCCAAACGGGTCCTTCTTCACCCTCCTCATGACTACGGTGATCTACTTGATTATTTTCTTCCTTCCTCATTCACCCCAAAGTCAGAGAGAATGGAGACAGTGGCTGGTTCAGAAGCACCTGACCTGGATCTCCATCATACTTGCAGAAGGGGCACATTCTATACCTGTTCCCCAACACACAAAAATAAAGCAAACAACCCCCACCCACTGATGCCTACAAGTTCAATGCCAATGCATGAGAAACAGCCCTGCAATCTGCGCCTGCTTCTAGGAAGGAGTCTCGGGGAGGCGGGCCGAGAGGCTCTTTGTAACACACAACTGTCAATAACTGACGAGTGGGTTTTCCACATTTCATCAAACTGCTAACATCTGTGGCCAGAATGGGAGATGTAGGTCTCGTGGAGCTGACGGGGAAAACATAGTTCATAAACGATTTTATTCTCCACGACGTGGACTATTACTGGAAGCACAGACTGCAGAGCCAGGGCAGCGAAATGAAAAATGATCCGCTTGGGAACATGAAATAAAGAAGGTGGGTCATATATGCTGACTCGGCAGGCCATCTAGCACACTGGCCAAGGAGGAAAGTCTGTATCCACATGTCACACACACACACAGTACCCAGGACTTCGAGGCTCATGATGAAACCATTTAAAGAAAAAAAAATCGTATCTGGCACTAGACTGGTGAAAGGGGGTGATCAATGTTACTTCCAGGCATCCCAGATCTGCAGGAAAGTCCCCCACCACACCCTGGCATCAGTCAGAAACAGCGCAACCTCTTACTCTCTGGGTTTCTGAGAAATGTGTTCAACTGCTGGCCCCAAGGAGCGTTTTACGGCCCACCCTCAGGTTGGCAGTTCTGCTGACGGCTGAAGGGTGTGGGATTCACAGCTGGCCAGGCACAGTGAGCCTGCCCTGAGCCAGGAGCTCTGGCCCTGGTCCCCCATTTCCTGTCTGTCAAGTGTGGGAGCCTCGCTGCTTCTCCCTAAGTCACAGGGTCCTGCCCAAGTTATTGAATAAACACAGTGAGTCTTAACCATAAAGCTGTGAAGCACACAGAGATCCTTATTTATACACAAGTGATGGCCTTTTGGGTGTTTCCTCCTTCATGCTGGGCAACAGTTCTGGTCATTTATTGAACACTTATTGTACACTAGCTTCTGCGGAAGATGAGTAAGTCCTGCTTTAAAAAAAAATGAACAGGCATAGAGTGGAAAAAAGTAATTGCACATGGCTATGGTTTTGCTCTCTGTGTCAGGAGTTGGGGGCTGAGTGGGAGCGCGAGGAGGGGCCGTTTTAAACTTAATGCCTCTGAGTCTAATGCATTCTCTGATGACTAAATGCATTCTGACTCCATGCGGCGTATTAGAATGACCACTGAACAGGGCGCCAGATTTCAAGAGGCTACGCGGTGAAAGTCACTGGCAAGGCTCCGAGTTCTGCCTGGTGTTTCTCTGACAGACAGCTGAGAGCTCTAGGCTCTGAGTGGTGATCGTGCAGTCCTTTGAGGTCATGGGGTTGACTCCCACTCTGGCCACTGCAGACACGGGAGGCGAGTGGAGAGAAGGGACGTTCCAGTTAGCTCACTCCTGAGGCTAGGGCTCCTGAGAACACCACAGGCGGGAGGGAACAGAGCGGGGTGGGCGGTGGGGAGTGCTCAGTGGTGCCCGCCCTGCCAGCCGGCTTGGGGGCCAGGACGCAGAAGGCATGAAGGCGGTAGGGCTTCTGCCTTAGTGCTCTTTCATCTGATGCTGGGCGTGGCAGGCCTGGTCCATCGGTTCGCTGGAAAGCCCAGCTTTTCCCTCCCCCCACAGCAACCAGAGCTCTGCTTGCCTCCGAGTCGGGGTGAGCCCGCCCAAAGAAAGTACCCCGGACCCTGTCAGGCCCCTCTGGTGTCTGGAGAAACGGTAGCCCTCAGTGGAGGGAAACAGTGGTCGGTCAAAAGCAGAAACCAAAATTACACCCAGGGAAAAACAGGAAGAGTCCATGAAATAAAAACAGCAAAGGAAGGTTCTGCATGTAACACCCACAGTGTCCTACTTTCACTTTCCCAAGAGATAATTCTGTCCTCCCCAGCCTGGAGCCAAATGTTTGCTCGGAGTATACACGGCACGGCGGCCTGCAGTCACTGAGGAGCTCTAAACCAAGCTGGACTTGAACTCAGTGTTCCCAGGGATAGGCCTGGCCCTCCCTCAGTGGGGTGCACAAGCTCGGACATGGCCCCTCAGGGGAGGGCCTCCCAACCTGAGCTGGTGACTTTACAGGCACTGGCAACTCAGGCTTGGCAAGCTTCCTGCAAGTGGTGTTCACAGGCTAGGAGGCCAGCAGCGGGTTCCGGACCTTCCCTTAGCAGCTACAGTGGGAGGTGCCTTAGGAAGGTCCCCGGGCCCTCCGCCTGCCTGTCCATGCAAGCAAGCCACCTCCAAGCCACCACGCTGGGGTGGCTGAGGGTGTGAATGAGCCACCATCCATCTCACGCTACTCACCATGTACGAAGGAAGATCAGAACGCGTTTGTGCTTGCCACAAGGCCACTGGGGGTCATCCAAGAGATTTGGGTCATAGTCCATAAAGTCTCCCAGGTCACTACCTAAAGACCACATGCAAAATGATCATTAGGGGCCCCAGATCCCCCAAAGCCGAGGCAGCTGGGAGAAGGCCCGGCAGAGTTAGGCTGACATTTAGCAGACGTTGCTGCCTGCCAGCGAAGTATATTCCCCCTCAAGAGGGTTCACCAAATTCCTAACATTCTGACCTTTTTTTCCATTTTAGAAAATTATGTATTCATCTCCCTGACTCAGGAGAGCCCAAGACCTCACACAGCATGTAAGAGGCAGAGAGAGCACTGGCAGACTCCAGACTGGGACCCTGAAGAGGCTCATTTTCTCGACTTGTATGTCAAATGAGGAGACTCAAGTCGTGCCAGCTGAGAAGTATGACTTTGTGCGAATGCTTCCAGGCAGGCCACCGTGTCTGCATGAACAAAAATCACAGCAGACACCAACGCGCAGCTGTGAGTGGCCAGAAGTGGCTGGAACATCAGGGCAGGGCTTCGTAACTCAGCACTGGGGCAGACCTAGGAACCTCACATTCGTCTGGCATTTCTCTGGAAGTGGAAATAGTACTGCTTTGCATTTTTTTGAGTCAGGGTCTTGCTCTGTCGCCCAGCTGGAGTGCAGTGGCATGATCATGGCTCACCGCAGCCTCACTCTTCTGGGCTCAGGTAATCCTTTGCCTTCCAAGTAGCTGGGACTACAGGCACACACCACCATGCCAGGTGAATTTTTCTAATTGTTGTTGTTTTTGTTTCTTGTTTTTGAATTGGAGTCTCACTCTGTCACCCAGGCTGGAGTGCAGTGGCACGCTCACGGTCACCGCAGCCTCAACTTGCTGGGCTCAGGTGATCCTTCCACCTCAGCCTTCCAAATAGCTGGAGCTACAGGCACCCGCTACCATGTCCGGCTAATTTTTTGATTTATTGTAGAGACAAGGTCTCGTCAAGTTGCCCAGGTTGGTCTCGGACCTCTGAGCTCAGGCAATCTTCTCGCCTTGGCCTCCATTTTCTGAATTTTTGTAGAGATGAGGTATTGTTATATTGCCAAGGGTGGTCTCAAACTCCTAGGCTCAAGCCATCCTCCAGCCTCACCCTCTCAAAGCGCTGAGATTACAGGTGTGAGCCACCATGCCCAGCCTCAATTCTTACAAAAGTTTGTACAGGCAAAGCTGGAAGCACCAAAGTATTCCTTCAGCCGCCAACTCAGCTCACCCACTAGGAGAATCACAAAGGAAACTCTCCCACCTGATCCTGCACTTCAGAGCCCAAAGAATTGGGGAAAAAAACCAAACAAGCACTCTGAAAATGTATGAGAGAACTAGGTCAGGGCCAAGAGGAGCTGCATGGACAGAGAAGCTAAGAAACATAGCCATCTCTGCCCTGTGCGGATGGCCTTGGCATTTCTCTGCGTGGACACTCAGGCAGTCAGTGACTGAGGCATCTCGTTAGAGTGATCACCTGAGGCCTGACTTGTGAGCCTGCATGGCCTGGGGTCAGGCTTTCTCTAAAGTCCTCCAGTCTGCACCACAGGGAGACCCAATCCATGCTGTCAACCAAGTCACCTCCCGCCACGAGCTACCCAGATGCAGCGGGGCCCAAGGTTACCTGTGTCGAGGCTCCCCTGGGTGCCACTCCCTCGGCCTATGGAGAGGCTGCGGTGACTCAGGTTACGAAACTGGGAGAAGGAAGAGGTGGAGTCTATGGTATTTCTCCGGGCTCCAAAGGCATTTGTGGGTAACAGAAATTGGGTATAGGAAACGGTCTGAAAGGTGAAGACAAAATAAAGAAACAAAACACCAGGCCAGTGATTAATCCCAGGTGATGCGAGGTCTGCATTCTGATCAAGTTACAGCTGTCACCTCAAGTTCAGACCTACCTTCATATTTGTAATTCCAAAATCCAATGAGATGTGAAAAAATGTGCGCCCACGCCTAACCTGAACTGACTTGAGGAGATGTATACTTTTAATTCATCCCACTTGGTCTTACTATTCCTGCTATGTGGCAGATGCATGGGTGTATTTGACAACAAGGTGCTATCTCAGAACCAGCTGGGGTGTTGTGTGTACACGCGGCAAACACTATATTGCTTTCTATAATCCATCAAGTAGAGTATTCCAAACACATCATGCCCCAAGAGTCTCCGGCAAGTCTCTCTTTTTTTTGTAAAGACGAGATCTTGCTATGCTGCCCAGGCTGGTCTCGAACTCTTGGCCTCAATGAATCCTCCCGCCTCAGCCTCCCAAAGTGTTGCAAGTACAGGCATGAGCCCCTGTGCCCGGCCTGTGGACTCCTATCATGCTCCTCTGGTGAATGCTATACATGAAGAGCAACTCTATTCACACAGACACTCACCCTTTAGGAATGAAGACAGAGCAAGTGTTTAGGAATGAAGACAGAGCAGTGCTTTTCTTTTAACCTGCACCGAAAAGTGCCTTGCATACATCCTGCCTACACCTCGAGCTCAGGGATGATCAGACCAGTTGCTCTGCAGGTGGGGAGAGAGAATGTCACCTGTCCTCCCAGCAGCCTCACCTGCAAGTCAACCACCCTGGGATGGTTTCCCCAAGAAACACTAGCAACGTTGCCATAAGTAGGTTTTGGAAGACTGCCTGGACCCTGCACAAAAATGGGACATTCACCTTTCACCCTTTCACTCTTGAGCTTGGTGCATTGTGAGCTCCCTGCTGTTTGTGGGCACTGGGTAAGGCCAAAGGGCTCTTCTCATGACCATGGGAAACTAAGAAAACTTTCTGGTAGCCGGAATGCTGCTTGCTGACGCCACCAGTTAATGGGTGTCCAAACCACTCAGCAGTCTACCCTGGAACACGCATGTGTATGCGTGCAAGAAAACTACTCCTAAGTATTGCACACTGAGTTGCAAACAGCACTGGCAGAGAAACATGTGCTCTGGAAATGCTGGCCACGATGCTACTGAATCACTGGCTCGGTGGACTTCCGCCTGCACGCTGGGGAAGCTGGGGCAGGCTGGCATCACACACCTGGGATCTGCCCCAGATTCCGAGTCCCCCACCCCAAGGAAGGCTCGTGGTCTGTCATGCACCTCTGCTTCCTGACCCTGGTGGTATCAGCACAACTCAGAGGCTGGCGGCCAGGCAGCCTTACCTTCCCGTCAGCACCCAGCTCCACACCTTCCAGACCGATGATCTCTTTCAAGCTCACGGCGCCGGCTGACTGTCTTCCTCCGTCCAACTTCAAGTCCCTGGGAGGACAAGCCAAAGAAAAAAAATACTTTTGTGTGCCCCCAAAGAGCATGCTGACTGCACAAGACACTGACGAGTGCATCCTGATGGATGGGACAGCCCTTTGTCTCTCTTCGGGGACTAGCCAGTGACACTCTGTGGGCAGTTTCAGACACTTGGACATAAACAAAATCCAACCCAACAAAGACTGAAGATGAAGTTGATGGTTTGCAGATGTCTCTTCCTCCCCAGTGAGATCCCATCTTTCTAGAGCTGCCCAGTAGACAAGAAGCCGGGGGCCTTCCCTGAGCACTGTGGGATAATGGTTCTCTCGGGCTCTGGCTGCTGGATTCTTGCTGACGCTGGGTGAGACCACCTCTCCTTGCCACTCTCCTTTCTTAGGAAAAATAAGTTCTTGTCCTAAACAGCTCCTGGGTTTGTTCCTGGAAATGAAAGAATTGATGCCACCGTGGTCACTCCCGCTACCTTGCCTTGCCACCTAGAAAATGAGTATCTTTTTAGAAAAGGATAATCTCCAAGCAAGTAACAACAAGCATTTGTAACAGCACTTTACCATTTCCAAATACTTCCACACATTGTCTCATCTCTTTGGTCCTTTAAGATGATCCTATGAGAAAGGTGCTACTGTTTGTGGTCCTATTTTACAGACGGGGAAATGGAGGCCCAGAGGAGGAAAATCTCTAGCTGAGGCCACCAGCATAGGAGATTGGAGGGACAGTGCACCCAGCGTTCTTTCTGGTACATCACATTGCCTTGGAAATGCAACATTGCCTTGGAAATGCACATCGCCTTGGGCATGCCATGACTTTGCTTGGGTATAATTGCTCAAATTTTCAAAGGACCACACCCTTCTCCTACAGTAATTCTCAGGTTCAGCTGCACATTAGGAATTGCCTGGGGATCTCTGACAAGCTGCTACCTGGCCCCCACCCTCAGACATTCAGGTCCAGTGGGCATGGGGTGTGACCTGGGTGTCAGGAGTTGTAAACGCTCCCCAGGTGATTCTAAATTACAGCCACTTTGGGAAAGACCATCTTCAGTTTCTGTCTCTATGACACCCAGGATGTGTTAGTCAAAGCTGCTTGAGACGGCAGCATGTTGGCTGTGTGGCCTGGATGCCGTCTCCTACAAACTGAGCAAGAACAGATACAAGCTAAGCAAGGTAAAGGCAGGATGCTCCCAGTCAAAGGTAAAATAATCAGGGAAAAAGAAAGGGAGCCAGGTGAACGGGAAGAAAGGAGGAGAGGGAGCCAACCCCCAAACAAAAGAAAAACGGGTTCTCTGATCTTGTCGAGCCATCATCCCTAGTCTCTGGGCATTCCATGGATGAACAGGCTTCCTTACCCCACCTATAACACGGAGTCTGGTTAATGACAGTGTTCAAAATAACTAACTAAGACCTTCTGCACCCAGGAAATACTGGATTTATTTTTTTGTCACGGTCTCACTCTATCACCCAGGCTGGATGGAGTGCAGTGGCATAATCACGGCTCACCGCAGCCTCTACCTCCTGGGCTCAGGTGATCCTTCTGCCTCAGGCTCCTGAGTGGCTGAGACTACAGGCACATGCCACCATGCCCAGCTAATTATTAAATTTTTTTTTTTGTAAACATGAGATCTCGCTATGTTGCCCAGGCTGGTCTTGAACTCTTGGCCTCCAGTAATCTTCCCACCTCAGCCTCCCAAAAGTGCTGATGTTACAAGTGTGAACCACCACATCCAGCCAAGTGCTGCATTTTTATAACCGTCTTCTTGGGAGGCCGTGGTATTGCCCCTCTCAAAACACCTCTGGACCCACTTTTGGAAGCAACCCCAAAGTCATGCAGAAAAAGCCAACCAACCCCCTGTTCATACCCACAAGACCATCTGCCCTACTGTTCCACCTGCTATGTACATGACCCATGCTCTCAAAAGACTTCTCTTAAAGCAACCAAGGATAGAAATGATGAATTAATGCAGCAGGAAATGCCTACAGAGCAAAAACTTGAACAAGGCAACGAGGCAAAAATGCCTGTGGTGGGCAGGGAGCGAAGGGACGGACTACAGGCGGACAGGAGGTGAGCTGGCACAGGAAGTGCAGCGTCTCTCAATTCATCCAAGGTCCTAGCTGGTTCCATGGACTTCCTACTTTCCCAAAGCCAAACCCAGCAAGCATGCTCCCCAAATTCCCAACTCCCAAACAGCTTTCTCCTTGTTTCCATTTGGCCAGATAGAGAATGTTACTTAGGACTGAAATTAATAGGAAAGCAGGGAATATCTTTATGGAGTGAGAAGGCCAGGGGAAGAAAATATTAAAATAAATGTATGTTAAGGGGCTCCCAGATGGACAGCCAGCTGCAGGCGGGAACATAAACAGGCACCTTTCACTTTCGGATCCTGTCTACACAGCATCTACTATGGAAAGACAATGCAGGATTTACTGAGCATACGTGGTGTGGCTCTCTGCTGTGTCACTGGGGCTGGCTTATACAGATGGCAACGGGATGGGGGTGCTTTTCCACCGTGCCCCTTGTCATCTGTCTTCCATTTGCTCACGCGCTCACTGCGTCTTGGGGCAGCCTTGTCCTGGCCAGTCGTCCGCTTGCTGCTAAATGTGCACATTCCCTGTTCATGGAACCAAACCAGCCATGCCTCTTCCCACACCCCTCTTCCTGGTGCTTCCCCCAAGGGAAATAAAGCCGTAACAAAAAATATATACACTTTATGTGCTCATATAAAATCTAGGAGTCCTCTCTGCGAGATAAGCCCCAGACCAGTTTAAAGAAACCAAGATTCTTAAAGCGAGTGCATGGTCCAAGTGCCTCAGGGACACTTGGGACCGCACGGAAGAGAGAGAGGGATGGGCCACACTCCCCCACTCCATACCCGGGAACCGATCTCTCGAGATGGGACTCACTGTAGATAGCGCTTCCCACAGGCTTTCACTTACATCATTCTACTTTTTAAATAGCCAAGGCCGAGCCAAGTAAGAAATGAAGCTAGGAGCGTGGCAGATCTACCCTAGACCGTGACCGAAGACACACACGGCTCATTACAGACCAGCACCAGGCAACAGAACCTCCTGCTGTGACGGAGATGCTCCTCTCGCCCTGTCCTATCCAGTGGTCACATGTGGCAACTGAGTACTTTAAATGTGGCCAGTTGACTAAGAAACTAAATTTTAAATGTTATTTAATTTTCATTAATTTAAACATAAATAGCCACACGTGGCTAGTGACTAGTACACCAGACTAAGTCTTAGTGCTTCCTTCTATGATCAAAGGGGACCCCATTAGGACCCCAAGAACAAAGTTCCCAGCTATGTTAAAAAGTATAACCTGGCCAGGCCCAGTGGCTCAAGCCTGTAATCCCAGCACTTTGGGAGGCAGAGGTGAGAGGATTGCCTGAGCCCACGGGTTCCAGACCAGCCTGGGCCACATGGTGAGAACTCATCTGTACAAAAAATTAGCCGGGCCTTGTGGCACGTGCCTGTGGTTCCAGCTAATTGGAAGGTTGAGGTGGAAAGATCTTCTGAGCCCAGCAGGTCGAGGCTGCGGTGGTTGTGAGCATGCCACTGCACTCTAGCTTGGGCAACAGAGTGAGCCTCTGACTAAAAAAAAAAATTATAACCACATCTGGCATAGAGTGGCAGATCTTTTGCCTGGAGGGGTTACGGGAGTGATAGAGTTTTAGGCAGTGCCAGTGCACACCAAGGAACTACAACCAGCGTTTGCCCCCCAAATCCTAGGCATCATGGGAAGCTTCAGGTCCTTCTTAACACATACTAGAGAGTGAGAGGGAGAGATGCCCAGTGACAACGTAGCCTGAATTTCCCTTCAGCCTTATAGATGGAGGGTTCAATTTATGTCGATTTTCTTTTTCTTTCTTTCTTTTTCTTTCTTTCTTTCTTTCTCTCTCTTTCTTTCTGAGTAGGAATCTCACTCTGTCACTCAGACTGAAGTACGGTGACACGCTCACGGCCACTGCAGCCTCAGCCTGCTGCTGGGCTCAAGCAATCCTTTTCACCTCACCCAAGTAGCTGGAATCATAGATGTGCACCACCACACCTGGCTAATTTTTTGATTTACTGTAGAGACAAGGTCTCGCCAAGTTGCCCAGGCTGTTCTCGAACCCCTGGGATCAGACAATCCTCTCCCCTCTGCCTCCCAAAGTGCTGGGATTACAGGTGTGAGCCACTGCGCCCAGCCTTATTAAGTAGATTAAAAAAAGAAACAAGATATTTCTTACACACGGAAGCTACTCATATTCACTATGTACAGACACATTTCAAAACTTTGCTGACATGGTAATAAGTATCACCAAGGTTCTAGAACACTGACAGCTTTGTGGTGGCTGAGGGCACACTTGTCCATACTTTTTCTCCCACAGATTCAGGGAGAAGTTCTCATTAACTTCGGGGGCTGCCATTTTGGTGGGTGTGAATGGAGATCACGCACATACACACAGATGCCTGCCCCGTCATCACCTGTCCACAGAAAATGAAACTGATCTCATTTAAGCCAGTTCTAATAAAGTTGGCTTCTTCACATACCTTTTGAATTTGCATAAAGACTCTCAGGATCTGCAAAATACATCTTTCATAGAGAGGCTGACAAACTTCTCGGGATTACATTTTCTTAGCTAAGTGAGCTCTCTCTCTGATAAATGTCACTGAAATTTCCTGATATTAACATGAACCATATGAAACTGCTGTTCTTCGCTGTCTTTGGGCTACATAAACGGCAATTTTGCTTTGTGTCACCTAATGTGACAACTGCCCAGGGCTCATGTGTGAGTGCAAAGAAACAGACCCATGGTCTTTGTGTCTCATCCTTTCAGAAGCTGAGAAAGTTGGACTTTCCTACACAAGGGAACTCTGAACAGTACAGATTCACCCGAGAAGAGTATTTTAAAAACTCCAGTGAAAAAGAAGCAGAAGTCCCAGCGGAGCAGTGATGAAATGTTGATGCTTTCTTTCTAAGATCATTGTTCTGAATTCTCATTAAAATAGTATATAAAA